CAAATACTATGTTATTATTACAAGGGGGGGAATCCACAAGTCACCTAATGATTGTACCTCACACCTCACAATAAGGTGCTTTGGGAAGAAGAAAAAGGTAGCATCTATCAGCATCTACCTTATATTGATAATGTGAGTATTTTCTTTCTTTCTTTTCCTTGTCTTTATTCATATGGACTCAATATATGTACAGAAATTTGATTTTAAGATGGCAAAAATAGGTTACAAAACAGCCAAGGGGCACATCATTAGAAAGATCTTGTAATACTTTTTTTTCTTGTCTCATACTTGCTTTGTGATTGCTATCAAGTTGTATATTAATGCTATACATTTATTAAGATTATAACTTTACAAAAAGAATGTTTTTATAATTGTATACATTAATAACCATTTTATAACAATTGTAAGTAAACAATAGTTGTTATTACTTTATTATATTGTAAGTACCACTCTGTTTTTATAATTATAATAGAAATATAATGTAAACATAATACTTTGGCTTGTCATACAAGGTTAGTATAATTAGTTTTATAGATTATATTTATCCATAGTACTTATATTGTCTTGTAATGTGTTAATATGTCTTATTTAGACATTACAATTCATCTGGAAACCTTGCAGTTACTTTATAATGTATATATAATGCTTATATTGCTTTATAATGCATATACAATGTTTATTTTGCTTTACAAAGTCTAAAATTCCATATAAGGAATGCGACTTTTTCGCGATGAAAAGGAACTGACCGCGTTGATTTTGTAACAAGGGACAGGGTCAGCACATTTTTATATTTACAATCGACCCGTTGTGGGTACTGTCACTAAAGACTTTAGTTCTTCACGCCCATCGACCTTCTTGGTTATGGAACAGTATGTCATCTAGACTTGGGTTAACAATAAGACAATTATGGATGCTGCATAGAAAATAATAAACCCTGTTTGACATGTGGGCTACTGTAGCAGAACGAGTATAGGCAATCAACTCAATGGGTGCTTTAGCCACTATATGTGGGAAATTTGAAATGAACGAGTATTTACTATGTAACCGGTGACAATTGTTCTTATGATTGATTATTAGCCACAGCCTTTCGGGACTTACTGTCGTTTTCATAAATATTGTCACACGTGCAATTCGTGATTTTCGTCACACTAAGTACACTCAAATACAAAATCTACTATAACTCAACTAATACTTAACCAAATTACATGATCTAAGTTGTAAAAATTATACTTTTGAAGTATCTTTCATATTCCAGAAAAAATGAAGTAAAATGAGCAAAAATTGAGTAAGATACAACACAATATGTGAGTTTTCCCTATATTTCATGTATATG